TTTTCAGTCTGCGGTTTGCTGAATCTGTGAGCGTGGAATCTGTGGACAGAGAGGGCCAACTGTACTGCTGTATTTCAAGATAACGATGTTTGCCAGCAAACTTGCCACGAATCATTGAGAGTCACTGCTGAGGCCGTTTGGAGCCCACAGAGCCCAGTGTGCTCAGGCACTGTCCCCAGCATCACAGCTGTCCCAATCTGTCCCTCTTTGGAAAATTCTCCTTGACACTCCCCAGACGCATCTCATTATATGATGTGCGGAGAAAGTCTTGGGAACAGGCAAGACCCAAGTTTGAATCTTGGCTTCACTCCTTTCTGGCTGGGTAGCCTTGCGGATGCTATCAAAACATAACATCTTTGAATCTATAAAAGGAGTTCTAAATATAGCAGACGAGAATCTCAATTCACATAGAGAAAAAGGCATTTTCCACACCCATCTTTGTTTTATTTTAAGCCCTCATTCCATCTGAGTGGGGAATATTTAACCTCCACCCATTTAGAATTTTCCCCTTTACTTATAGTGCTGACTATAAGTAAAGCCTACAGGGGGCGTTGTACAGTGCTAGCCCATTGAAGAGCCCCAGGTATGTTCCCACACACGTGTCCCACTGGACAGGTGCCTGCCTTTCTTAGGCCCTCAGTCATTAATTGTTTTTCACAACTGGCAGCTGTCTTGGTATTTCTTTGCCTTCTTTGGGGTACACTAATATTTCTGCTGCTTCTTATGCTGTCTCTGTAAGGCCATCTGTGGTCTATCAGCCCATCTGCACCAGGCCAGCGTGTGGCCCACGGCAGCCCACGCCCTGACCCAGGAAGTACTTTCAAGTGCCTTCATTCTGTAGCTTTGATGTCCTACCCTCTCCACTCCTCCTTGTCACCTTCACCCTCCCCTTGCTGGGGGAGCCAGCTTCTCTTCCATATTCCTCCCCTAATGCGGATCCATTCCCTGGTCTTCCCTGCCCTGCTAAGGGTTTGGCAGGAAACCACAATACCTAAAAATTCTTTACACTGGAAACCACAGTGGAGAAACACAGCTTCACTTCTCTCTGCCCCTCCCTACAGAAGACCAGAGATTTGTTTAAATGGAAGTGAGATAAGAGAAATACAGAAAAAAAAAGAACAAAGGCTCAGATCTCCAAATTGCTACCCCACCACTTAAGGAATAAATAAAACAGCTTAGGAAGAAACCTGCCACATTTCTAAGACCCAACAAATAGTGGCTATTTTCCCACTGTAACCTATTAAACACATTATCTATATCACTTACTTGAAAATTAATTATGCACTGCCTTAGAATATTTGTTATACTAGCAATTTATTCTTATATTTATCTTATTTTGCTTTACCAGTGTCTCTACTTCATTCTTTCAATTCAATATAAGCTCTGGAAGAACATGTTCCACATTTTATAATTAACTGAATCTAACAGAATGCTAGGCATACAGAAAATGCTGTAAAAATGGATGTCGATCTAGCCTCAGGAATCCAAAATCATGTTTGCAAACAATTAAAGAAAGTTCTTTGTACAATAAATGCAGTTTTATTTGCTTTCTTAAAGGGATTCATAACTATTCTTATTTTAAATGTTAACAGAGGAGCCACGTAGTCTATGTAGATACCCTAGGTATTAAACAGAAAGGGATATTTCAATGTTATCTATTATCTTTTAGACTCCTGCATCACAACCCCCACTGGGTTCGCATATGTTTCATATTTTATGCTGGTCTCCCCTTGCAAAATGCTAATTGAATTGATTTCCTGGAGGCTTGTCACTAATAAATAGAGGGCATCACATTTTGAATCAAAAAATACAAAACATGAATGTGTTTTGCTGTGAGAAAATATGTAGGAAAATGTCATCACATCCACAAGAGTCACAAAGCTTGGCCCTTGCAGATGGAGCTGCTGAGTGAGAGGTAGAGGAGGGCAAGACCTTGGCCTCACTTTGGACTAGGCTGGCTGGCCTAGGATACCTACTTGGTGCTGTGCATGGATGAATATACACACATTACAGGAGCATATAGTTTACAACTTCCTGTAATGTGTCCTTGGGTCACTCACTTCCCCTTTGAAACTTAAATTTGCCCATCTATAAATATGGAATGAGTACTTACCTCCTAGGGTAAGGAGTTATTAATCTTTATTAAGAGTCAATGAAATGATATATGTTTAGTAGTTCACATGGTATTGGGTATGTATTTCATGCCCAATAAATGATAGTTGATGGGTCTGCTACTCTAAGATAAAGAGAAAATACGAAAAAGGCCATCTGAGAACCCTGGAGAGGAGCACCTATCCAAACCCAGGCTCGTGCCCTGTTTCTGCAGAGCTGCTAGGGCAGGGACGTGCTAATGGCTTGGAGGAGCACTCTCTCCATGCGGGCTCTAAGGTCCTAGATTAGAAGATTAAATTGGCTTCCCTGTTGCGATGGACCATCTCACACCATTCCTCAAAGCCAAATCTATTTAAAATTCCCTGTGAACTGAGCACTTCAAAAGAGACATCATTCATTTCCAAAGTAAAGAATTTTTAGGTATCAAGCAACAGCATTTTGACTTAAAATGGCTTTCCCGTAAAGACAGATGAATGGCTCCCGCAGCTGAATACACCCCAAAGCACAGCACCGAGGCTCTCCATTGGTTCTGCCCAATCCTGCTATGACTCACCTGGCTCTGTCTTCCTCTTTGCACTGCCCTTCTTGTCCCCAGGCTAAGGGCAAGAAGGCCACAGTGGCCCTTAGCCTTCCATCTTAACGATCTCAAAGGAAAGGCAGCAAGAGTTGGTTGTAAACTTTCTGGAGAGAGAAATGGAAAGTTGTTTTTGTGTTGTTTTCCCAGTTAGCATTTCTCATGACATTGGCCCACACTTGGTCCCATTGTGATTGCTGGGCCAATTACTATGGCTTATGGAATGTCAAGTGCTGACTGGCAGCCTCTTGATACTGAATTTCAGGTCCACCCCTGAATCAGTCCTTGGAGCAGCAGGGATAGCATATACTAATTAGCTTAAATTAAATACAGCCCATACCTGGAGACTGAGTCTGTTCCCTAGGCTGCCTCAACAAGAGAAAGAGGGAGACTGATGTTGGTGAGATAGCCACAGGGCCCTCTGATCTGCTAGTATTCAACTTACTATCTCCTTCAGTTCACCAGGCACATTCAAAATGTCTGTGGTGCACCAGGCAGAGTGCAGGATGCCAGGAGAATAGAAGACACCAAGTGTTATTGGAAAGAATAAATGAGTCAGTGTTTACAAAGTGCCTGGTGCAGCCCTCAGCCCCTAATACTTGCTCAGTGTTGTCTTCATTAAAATGAATAATGCATGAGTAATCCTTGTATCCAGGAGAGAGAGAGCAAGAAAGCCTTAAACTAATAAATTATAACAACGTGTGAAGGGTTAGTCTGCAGGGGGCATCAAGGAGAGAAAAAACATGAGGAGTTTCTCAAGGAACTGAAAGCTCAGTGGTTATTGACCTTGGCTTCGCATTTGAGTCACTGAGAAGCTTTTAAAATTTCCTGTATCAATTAAGTCAGAATACCTAAGGGTGGGACCACGCACCAGGTGTCTGAGGATCTTTCAAAAGATGCTTTTAAGAAAGCACAGCCAAGTTTGAAACCTCAACGTTAGGCTGTTGAGGGCATACAAAACAAGCACGTGAAGCATTTGTTCACAATTCCAGGTGGTGAGGGATGCATTAAAGTCAACCATCAGTGTCCCATGGCTCGGTGCAGGGAGAGAGCACAGCGGGGCTCAGGGCTGAGAGAGGGTGTGGTGGGGAGAAAATTCAGGGTGTGAGAGGAACACGGTGGATAGAGGACCTGGGGAAGGCTTCAGGGAGCAACAGGGCACAGAGAACTTAAAGGGCCTACAGAAAAGTAGAACACACTTACTCTGAGCCATGGGGAGACAGCAAAGTTGTTCTCACTACAGGGAGGAATAAGGGGAAAGGGAGGTATATGGTATATCAGTGTGGATCCAATCAGGGGAGAGAATCCAGATTCATTTAAACAGGGAAGCATAAAGCACCACTAAATCTAATGGGGGACTGAAGTAAAGGGAACTCTAAAGAATGCAAGAAAGCATGTGTGAGGAGCTGAGGGCTAAATTTTGCTGGCACAGCAAGGTTCACCGAAAGGTAGGGAGGTCTCCATGGCATTGCTTGTTGGAAACCTGCTCTCCAGGGAGCTAGAGAAGCCACTCACAAGGGTGCATCCGTGCAGCATATTCTGCTACCAAACCATACAGTGCCAGGGAAGCCACAGGAACTGCTAAGCCGAGACAGCCAAGGGCAGTGGTGGCGAACCTATGGCACACGTGCCACAGCGGGCATGCAGAGCCCTCTCTGTTGGCACATGAGCCAAATGTATGAGGTTTTTTTTTTTCCTAAACTAAAACCTCAACATTTCGGTTTAATTTCAGTGTTGGTTCTTTGCAATAAATAAGTGTGTTTTGGTTTGCAGTTTGGGCATGAAGACTCTGAAAGATTTGCCATTGTTGGCCTAGGGAAACAGGATACAGAACCTGGAGTGGTCTGTGAGCCTCTGTGGCTCACAGGGTTCATAGAAATGTTTTCAGGAAACTAGCAAAGCTGCTGTATTTCTTCCATGTTCAGCTTGCTTTCTGGACAAACATTCACACAAGGTCCAGGCAAGTTTTGTCATGTAGACTGCCCAGAGGTGAATGGTAAAGCCGGTGAATACTGCCTGGAGGAACCTCCTGTTATCTGACCTAGGCGAGGCCTGACTTGGAAAGCAGGGAGAAGATGGAAAGGTGTAGTTCCCAGGAAGGCTTTGCAACACAACGCTGTGAATACTTGTATGAGGGTGATAGTAGACCAGAGCTCCCACAGTACTCAGCACTTCCCCATGCGAACACATGCTCCTTCAGGTTTATGGGACACAGAGTTAGTGTGACCTTGGCTCAATGGCCAGCAGGCACCTCATCATAATAATTCCTACCCAGTGTCCTCAGGGTAAGTGACAGTGCCCCTTTTTCTTTCAGGAGGCGAAGTTGCCAAACCACGATTTGCTCAATTCTTCCATGGCAGCCTGGCCAGTCTTACCATCCGCCCTGGCAAAATGGAAAGCCAGAAGGTGATTTCCTGCTTGCAAGCCTGCAAGGAGGGGCTGGATATCAATTCTCTGGAAAGCCTTGGGCAAGGAATAAAGGTAAAGAAAGAGCTGGTGTCACCTTGGATAAGACACTGATTTATGAGACTGAGGCTACCCAGCACCCAAAGACACCAGGAAATATTTGTTTCTGTAACACTACCCAGAAATGGCACCACAGCAAAGGTGCTGCCATGGAGGGACAATAGTGACCCTGACTTGTGTGGACATCTCCTGAAACTCCTAGGTCAGGTCCTGGTGTCCAGTCACCCCACTATACAACATGCGGCACATACTGAATATGTGCCTGGAGGAAGTTGTACTTCATTCGTTCGGGGGTTGGCTTGTTGCTTTGTTTATCTGCCTGAAGGAACGGGAGCAGCGTGCAAGAATACATTACCAAAACATGAGAAACAAATAAGAAGTTAGGACTCTGTAAAGTACAAACTAGATGGGAAAGAAAAGACTGAGGTGAGGCAGACTTAGAACGAAGGTATGGAGGTCACAGGGTCTCACACAGTTGCAGTGAAGCACAGATTGTGCTCTAAGCGATCTATGGCAGAAGGAACGTGAGCAGATTCATGATTTCCACTGTCCATGTGAAATTAGAATATCCAAGTGCTCCAAGAGAATGAAAGCTATGTTCTGAGAAAAGCTCCTCCAGAGCAGGGCAGGAAAAGCTGTGACCTGACTATGGCTTTACCATGCATCTGTCTGGGAGGCAAGGTATTTTCTGGCCTTACCTGGGTGTAAGACACACGTGCTGGTACTGAGTCCCTGGGGTCCTGAATGTAGAGCAGAGTCAGCATCATCAGAGACCACACTCGATCATCATGGTCCCCACTGTGGGAAAGCAATTTCTCAGTTCCTCTCTGAAAGCTGAGTGACCACACTCTCTGTCCTCTGCCTCCTGAGGGTAGAGCCAGCACTCCCCCACACACACATGGCTGTGAAGATTACCCTTCTTAGCCATTCCCTGAAGGAGGGTGACTACAGTAAGAGTTTCCCAGCCTGCGGTGGAGCTGTACCTTGCGGTCCTGTCCTGGCCCTGCCTCTCTTGGACAGGGTATCCTCTCCAACAGAAATCCCTGCGGGGCCTCCTGCTTGCTAGGCTCTGATGCTGGATAGCTTTGGAGGAATTAGTGGTGCTCTGAGCCCCGTGCCATTCATTACATTGCAGTCCCTTCAGCATGGACACTCAGGCATTTAGTTCTGGACTGGCTTCTAGAATATGAAAATGAGTGTTCCCAGTCTCCATCCTCAGGGAGCTCAGTGGCCCAAGTGGACATTCGTGATCAATCTTGATGACTGCTACAGTAAGGACAAGCACTGACATTTCCTGAGGATCTCCCAAGTGCCAGGCACCGTTCTAAACATCCTATGCACGCTACTCCCACAATATCTCCTTGACAGAACTCCAGTTTTACACACCAGGAATTAAGGGCTGAAGGAGAAAGGAAATTCCCCTTGAGATCTGCAAGTTAGACATGGGCAGAGCCAGAACTTGAAGCTGGGCTGTCCCACCCCAGCTTCCTCCAGCTGGGAAGGCTCATTGGAGGAGGTGAGGCCTGAGCAGAATATGTGAGATTAGGTTGGAACCAGCCTGGAAAAAGGCAGGGGAAGTGGGAAAGACAGTAGTCATCCCAGGTAGATCAAAGAGTATGAGCAATGGCAGGGGGGCTGAGATATATCACAGTGTGCACTGCAACTTCCATACGGTCAGTGTTGTAAGTGCCCAAGTCACAGGAGGGAGGGTTAGCACGTGCGACCAGAGAGGTAGCAGGGCCTTCTAACCATGTTTAGGTGTTTATATTTAGTGTCCATAGCTGGGAGTCATTGACGGCCGAAGCAGGGGAGCATGCTCTTGGTGATGTAGGGTCTGCAGTGTTCACCTGGGACACTGGATCAAAGAGGGGAGGTGAAAAGGGTAGAGAAGCACAGGAAGGCAATGGGGCTTGGCAAATCATTCTTTAACATGGCTCAGACACACATGTGCACCTACACTCAATAGCTAATCACCTGTCATTGGAGGAAGCTCACGAGACCAGCTCATACCAGAAAGGATGGGTGTGACCTACTGTGCGTGTTGTCTTCTTACAGTTTTGTCCACCCACTGATGCACAGCACGTCCTCCACACCTCTCTCCTTTACTGATTCTGGGTTTGCTTCCTGCCTCTAAATGCACCTGCTCTGCAGTGCACAACCCACAGGGCCACAGCTGCAGAGTTCCAGGCACTACAGAGCAATAAACCAAAGACACTGGCCTGAGAAGCCATGTAAAATTATGAATTAAGAAGTGTAGCGATTTCTACAGAGAAGTCCCAGCCTCTAAAAAGTGGGGACCTATAGGGGCTGGGGAGGCTAATCTGGCTCTTCAGCATACCACCTAATCGCAACCAAGCCACTGTGAGCAATCCTTTTCCATCCCTAAGGCACAGCTAGTGAGAACTGGAGCACTTGTGAAAAGCTAATAAGACACACAGCTTACAGAGCACCCACTGGGGGCTCTTTTATGTTCATTATCCATGCTTCTCAAAACAAATTAAATATTATGACCTCGTTTCAGAAATAAGGGGACCGGGGCTCAGGGACTTGTCCAAGATAAATCCATGCTCTTCCCACCCCCAGCAACTCAGATTAGAAGATACACTGGGAAGTCATTAGAACTAACTCCTTTCTAACACGCTTCTATCTTTCATGTCCCCAAATGCCAGGCACCGTTCTAAACATCCTGAGTGATGACTGTCATTTTATTGGCCAGATTACTGGCCTCACCCCTGTTCCCTGGCTAAAGCAGTGAGGCCCTCCTGTGATTAAGGAATTACATGCGTCTGCTCATAGGTCTGGAACAGCTTCCTGGCATTAGTTCTCTTCCTCTACATCATGCCTGCTTCTAAATATTTTCCAGGATGTCTTGAGCCTTTCAATGGGCACAGTGGCTGCTGTCTTGTACCCATACAAATGCTGTAGAATAGCCATGTTCCTCAAGAATACCTATTCTGATTTTCACACACAATCCCTGCCATTGTCATCTTCCCAGTGTGGGAGAGCAGGAAGCAGAAAGGATTCTGGAGCAAGACACTTCTGGGACATTTTAATCCTTTAAGCTCCAGTCCCTCATGTATGCAATGCACTTACTTTTTTTCTTATGTGCTGTGAAAACTGAACCTAGTAGGCTCTTAACAAATCACAGGTCCTTTTGTGGCAGCAGAGCCTCTAAATTGCTAGTTTTGAACTTGGTCCAGGCAAAAAGGGCTGGCATGTGGCAGGTGCTCAAGGGAATGCCAAGGTTTCTAAAGAGCCATGGTCAGCCTACCGCCAAGGAATAAGGCATCCAAGGGTTTGGGCAAGAACTTTATTAGCAGCCCAGCCAGCTAGTTGGCTGGAGATAACAGCTGAGCTCTAGAAAAGATGACCACTGCACAAGGACATCTGGCCAGCACCTCCTTGGCTTACTTTCACCACAACACAGCTTCCCGTGGGTCAATGAGTGCTGTCACCCTTACTGTGTTCTCCAGCCACTTAGCATGCTACCATTACCTGCCCCTGTGTCTGCCTGTACAAACGCGGTCTTCTGTGTAACCCCAGACTCAAACACCAAGCAGGGACACCACAGTTGGAAAAATCAGTGAGCCAACTTTGGAGGGTTTTGTTGATCCTGCAAGAACTATGTTAAAAGGTATGCCAGCACCCCCCTTTGTGCCCCATGATAGCCCACGGGGTGCTGTAGCAGCCCAACCAGGATACTAACTGGAAATTTGACACATTTCTTAACCTTTAGCTTTCACCAAGTGGCTGCAGCGGGAATGCACCCTCTGCTGGCTGCCATGAGATGCTGTCAGTGCCCTCTCTGAAACTGTACAGTTTTCCTGTTCATCACTCCTGCAGACTCAGAGATCAGCCTTTTCTGCAAGGCTCATCATCTGTCCTGTGCTTCTCATGTGTTAGACCGTGTAGCACTTCTGGGGAAAAGGCAGTCGACGCTGCCTTTGCGGTTCTCAGTCCACTGCAGGCCGCACACACACAGCATCAGTGTCATGATATTCTGCCATTGGAGGGACAGTGCAGAGGTGGAGGAGGGAACAAGGGGCAGAAAACCATTCTGGGACAGAAGTGCTGTTTTCAGAGGAATGACATTGAATCTTCTCAAATCTGAAATGGGTGACTTGCAAAACACCTCAGAACTAATTCTGACTCATGAACATGTGACAGCTCTAAGGCGGAACATCTTAAGCTGCTGAGGCATCTGTGGCTAGACACCAACCCAGAGGCTGACAGTGACACATACGCCTGGGTGCTCCCAAATCTAGTGAAAGAGAGTGGTGCACATGACCAGTAGTCACTGCTCAGAAAGACCCTACCAGGACACTGAGTGGGAAGAGGGAACTGGATCATAGGGAAGGCACGGCCACCCCACAAGCAAAGACTCAGCTCAGTCAGAGTTACAGTGTTTAGCATTATAACCAAAGAGATCCTATGTCAAACACCTAAAAAGGTTACACCAATTGGACATCCTTAACCTGGAAATCTGAAATGCAAAAGACTCCAAAACTGGGGCTGGGGATTTAGCTCAGCGGCAAAAGCGCCTGCCTGGCAAGCGCAAGGTCGTGAGTTCGGTTCCCGGTACCGGAGAAAAACCAAAAAAAAAAAAAAAAAAAAGACTCCAAAACTCAAGCCTTTATGACTTTTTGAGCACTGATGATATCACGGTGGAAAATTCTACACCTGACTTCATGTGTCAGGTCACAGTCAATATACAGGTTCATTAAAATTAGTATATAAAATTAACTTCAGATCATTTCTATAAAGTATATACAAAACATAAGGGAATTTCATGTTTAAACTTGGGTCCCGCCCTCAAGATATCTCATTATATATAAATGTGCAAAGATTCTAAAATCCAAAACGTCCTAAATCTGAACCACTTCTGGTTCCAAGCATTCCAGAGAAGAGACACTCAACTATATTATGTCCTTTAAACTGCAGATAGGTTAGTATTAATTTCTCCATTATTTTAAATGAAGTCTAGAAACAGGATGTGACTGGTCCAAAGTTGTACTCTGTGGTTTGTACTTGAGCTGGAATGTGACATTCTCAGCAAGCCTGTGGGCTTTCAAAGATGCTGCATAGCCTTGGAGAAGTAAAAATCATGGCTGTGAAGGACTGACTTCCTCCAGACCGGTTATGCTATTGCAGTAATGACTCCAAAAAATCAATGGCTTAGCCTTAATGGCTTAACCCAGTCAGGGAGGAGGGTTGTAACTTCTGCCTAGAATACTGCAGATCAATGAAGTGGAGAGAAAAGAAGCCAGATTATCCCACATATATCCTGCAGGGAAAGCTAGCACAAGTTACATGGTCAAGCCTATATATAGGACAGGCATATATAAACCTCCTACTGGGAGAAGAAACCACCAATTATGTACACTAATGCAATTTTCTACAAGAAATTAATATAATTGTGGGTGATTACCTGTGGGATTGAACTGTGAAAATTGGACAGATGGGCAATAAGAGTAAGAAGGCATTTTGCATGTACCACATACATATATTTGAATCATGCGTATAATATTATCTATTCAGAAAAGTAAATAATTGTCAGGTACTTCCATAAAAATATATTCAGCCCCCCTTACCTGCATGACATAGCACTAAATATATAGACTGAATCCACAGATATGTTCTTGCCACTTTACTGATAATAATTCCAAATAATCATTGCCTTGAAGTGTGTCAGGGTCAGTAACTTACAGTTGCTCATGTTGATTCAAAGAGGACTAACTGCTAGGGAGACACAGGAAAGAGCAAAGGTCTGGGTCTGCTGGAGGACCCTCAATGAGGAGCATCATAACCACCATGCCTCCACCAAGAATAGAATTCCAGAGGCTCAGGGTGCAGTGGATAGATAAAGAACCCATGGATAAGCAAAAGATGAGTAACACCCATGGGGTAGGTGAGATCTGGAAAAAAAGTAACTGAAAAATTGAGCTCCAAGGTTGAAAGCTAAGAACATGCATTATGGGTCAGGAAGAAGAGTGCAGGGTGAATTAGGGAGGAGTTTAAGGCCAAGGACAAGAACAGCCTCAGGAGCCAGCACCCAAGTACTGAGGATGTCAGACCAGGGAGTGGGCCATCCAAGGGTTGAAAGTTCCTGGTTCAGACCAACTGGGTCACCCAGAGTGTGGAACACCCTTTACCAAGGCCTGGGCATGAAGAGCACTGTGACTGGGCTTTCAGAATTCTATTCTGTGACTCAGGGCAATATTACAGGAGGTTACAGTCCCTGGGGAAAACTTACTCCTGGGGAAGGTCCAGAGGTCCTTCCACTACAGAGCAGCAGGGATTGAGAGATTAGAAAGGGTTATTTGTGCACACAAATGCTTCACTTGCAGATGTTCTGGATATGTGGTGGGCGTGGTGGCCTTTCCATGGAGCTGTACAGCTTCCAGGGGACACTAGTCTATCACTCACTATTCGCTCCTGTGACCACTTTTGTCTTCCAGTATCACTTCAACCCCTCACAGTCTATCCTGGTGATGGAAGGAGAAGACATCGGGAACATCAACCGTGCCCTACAGAAGGTCTCCTACATCAACTCCAGGCAGTTCCCCACAGCAGGCGTGCGGCGGCTCAGAGTCTCCTCCAAAGTCCAGTGAGTAGATGCCACTCAATTAGGGCCCACCTGAGGCAGCAGGGATGGCCCAGTGGGAATTCGCCCTTGCAAAGCAGGATCTGAGCTGCCCTGGACTTCTCTGTCATCCCAAGGAGATCTGTGTTCTCCTTCGGCTTTCTTAAGGAAAATATGATGTTTGGGCAACTTGAATCTACCTTTCTCTGTTTTATTCTGCTTGAGGATTTCATAGCTTCTTTAAATGCTGGCCTTCAATCAGTCTGATTTTGTAACTCACTGGCTGGCCTATCACATTGTTTTCCAGCCACAGCACCTCCTTGGGAATACTGCTAGGAAGGGGACCCCAGAGAGACCCTAGGAGGTGGAGTCCCCGTGTACCTAGAACAGGAAAATGCAGAAAGAGAAACACAGGCTCACAGAGATGGATTTGTTGACTGTCACATGGCCGAGTCTGTGCCCACAAGGACAGTTAGTTACACTGCACAGGGCAATGGAAGGGGTGTTCCCACTTCCGGAAGCCTAAGGGTAGGGAGCAGGCACCTCGGAGTCAGCTCCATGTTAGAGCAAAGATAACTGATAGGCTGGTCAGGGTCCACCTCTGAGATCAGGCTTCTGTAAGCTTCAAGGGGAGGGGAGTGGAGTGGGTGTGGCTGAGGTAACAAGACTAAAGCAGCCGCCCACCAAGCTCCTGCGTCTTGCCAACCCCACTGAAGAGGATGAGGAGGCTCAGCACAAGAGCTGCCAGGCTGCTCCCCCCTCCCGCCTTCCCAAGGCGTATGAGCTGACAGCTGCCTCTAGAGGTTTGCAGCCAGCATTCCCACAGGGCCTGTTTGGCTGAGTTTTCCATCCCAAATTCTGACCTCAGTCACAGTGGAATACATCACAGACCCAGAGGTCCCATGGCGTTTGATGACAGAGTCAGATCAACTAATCTTTACTGAGCTCAAGTCATAATGTGGGTGCTGGACAGTTTCTTTTCCAGAGTCCCAATCCTTACTACTATTGGGTAATTATTATTTTCCCATTTTATAGATGAAGAGACTGAGATTCACAGCAGTTGAACACCCTCTGCCCACAGTCTGCTAGCTCAGGAGTGGCGGAGCCGGGCCACGGGTCCCTGGCTGTCTAACTTCTCAGGCTTTGCCCTTATTGTCACATCACTGCTGCCCACAGATGCCTTTTTGGCCTTGTATTAGGGAAAAGGAGAGTAACTCTAGTGGAACTGTGCCCCTTCCCCTACAGGAGTCACACTAGTGTGAGCCCCCTTAGTGAGACGGCACATACACGGCGGCAGGAGAGTGTAGCCCTCGGGTCTCATTTAGTGAGATAGCTGTAGCCAACCAGTTAGACAACAATGTGCTTACCAAATACACATGCACATAGCAAGCAGTTGCCATCTAATTAATGTTGTCATTGATTGCTTTGTTAAAGGATAATGAAGGCTTTAATGTTACTTGTTGCTCGCATACAAAATTTCCGTTCCTCCCAGGAGCCAGTCTTTTAAATCCCTATATCACTAGTGGTTTCAATGATAATGTAGCTTTAAATCTGAAGCTCTGCTGACGTCCTCAGAGACACTTAGCAGTCAGAAGGCTTTGTCCGGGACTAGGAGTGGCAGCTCCCTGTCCATGGCTAGGCTGCAGATGGCTTAACCATTTCGTGCCAGTGCGGTGACTGAAGCTGTCTTCCCAGGTGCTTTGGGGAAGATGTATGCATCAGTATCCCGGATGTGGATGCCTATGTGATGGTCCTTCAGGCCATGGAGCCCCAGATCACCCTTCAGGGCACAGATCGCTTCTGGAGACCTGCTGCCCAGTTTGAAAGTGCCAGAGGAGTGATCCTTTTCCCAGATATCAAAATTGTGAGCACGTTTGCCAAACCCGAGGCCACGGGGGACCTGAAAACCACAGGTACAGGTGCAAGCAGGGTGGTGGGAAAGGGGTGCCTTAACTTGTTACAGCAGCACAAATTGCCCTCAAGATAACAGCACTGTTCGCTGTGAACGGGTGATAAATAACAGCAAAACAAACAAAGCTGGAAATAATCAAAGTGAACAACCAGAGAGGAATAAATAGCTTAGCAAATTATGTACACACATAAGTGATAGGAGGTCAAAGGGAGGACATTGTTTTTCTAAAATGAAAAAAAAGATGAGATGCATAATTAGATAGTATGTACGTGTAGCATGAACTCAACCCTGTAAGAAGAAAAATGCCAAGAAGAAAAGACGCCTCCTGCTACAATAATATTCTCTGAGAAGCATAAGCAAAGCCGATCTGTTTCTGTTTCTCTTCCCTCTTCTGCAACTGTAAAAATGTTCTCTGTGGAGCATGTGTTATTTTGATCATCAGAAGAAAAGTTAGAAGGTGCTCAAGGAACAAAATACAGATACCACTTAATGTATACACAGCAAGAGTTAGGTCTCGTTCAGCAATATGACTGACTCTAAGCGCTCGGGAAATTTCCAAGTTGTAATTTCTAACAGTTTCGTTATTGCAAGGATTGCTCAGGGAAAGAATAATTTAAATTACGTGCTAGGGAGAAACAATTACACTGGAAGCCACAGGAGGTGCTGGTGGAAGAGGACAGAAAGGCGAAGAGGGAACAGAGGGGGAAACGTCCACTTGAAAACTGTTCTTTGCTGCCTTTTCTAAGAGAACATTTCAGCTCTCCTTCACCCGCTCCATCAGTCACTGCTAATGATGTACTGGTGCCAGTAGGCCTAAGTCCCTAAAGATCTGCTTCTGTAATAATCCTAATTACCCACTGCCTCATACCACACTGGTCCCTAGTCAATAGGGTGCTTGAGAGGCAGCCCTCCTGAGCTCATAATAATTGATGGTGTTTCGACACCTGTCCAGGCAGCATGGTTTCCTACTTATATGCCAAGGTGCATTAGATTGTGTGATCTCCCTGCTTCTCCTGTTCTCATTTGTGGCTACAATCAGACGGAAGAAGGAAGGCCTGTTGACCTCCATGGTCGCAGCCCAGGAGCATCTGGAATTGTTTCATCTGACACCAGCATATGGGCGATGCAGAGAAAAGCAATTATCTGGGTCCACTTCTCACCTTCTATTTATGAGAGGGGCATGCAGAGCCCATGGGCAAGTGCCTGGGAGCTATTATTAGTATTTTAAAATTTTCCCTCTCATCACTGTTGGTATAATTATTATTATGAGTATCTCAAACATGCAGGCTACTGGCATTTGCTGCTGGACCTCAGTGACTGGCTCCAACAGCATCTCTTTCCCCCAGTCACCTCAGTTGCAAAGACAGACAGACAGACAGACTGCTTCTGCCTCTCTCTCTCTCTCTCTCTCTCTCTCTCTCTCTCTCTCTCTCTCTTTTGGCCCTCCCTCCTTTGTGTCAGTCCACACTTCTCCTCTCTGGCTAGGAGGTCCCTTTTCCTTTCTTCTCCGTCTCCTTTTATTGGGACAAACCTCTCTACCTTAGATGCTGCCTCCAAAAAGCTCTGCCTGCCACATGACCCCCAGCAGGGCTGGCCTCCTGCTCTGCACAGTTAGCTGCTGATGCTTCCCTCCAGCACGTATTTTTCCACCCTTTGTGATGATTATCTGCCCACAGACCAGGAGCTCCCTGAAGGCTCAACCATGGCTTGATTTGTTTCTGGATTCCTGAGCCCAGCACCCGCTTCAACACAGCGGAATCAAGAAACCTGCAGATGGAAAATAATACCAACCATTGTTGAACTCCTACCATCTTGTATGGTGAAGCTCTGCCTCATTTCCAATGTTTTTTTTAAATATTATTACTTGTTACAGTCTTTGATTGTTTGATCAGTCTTACAGTCATACGTCTGGTGGACTGAGCAACTTCGCTGAAGATAACAGTATGTAATGTAGCAACCAGTGTTAATTCCTACCATTTTGTTTTGAGGTCATGTATCATTTTTGTTGTTTTTGTGTTGTTTTGATTTTGTCTTCATTGTTGTTTTGTTAGTCTTTTTAATTTTTAAAATAGAAAAAAGAAAATTATGTAAGTCACAACTTCTGATCTACATAAAGGAAGAAAGCATTAGAGAAGAATAAATGAATCTAAATAAAGTAGTTTCTTTTCTTATTCTTTTTTTTTTGGGGGGGGGGTTTTGGTTTTTCTCCAGTACCAGGAACCGAACTCACGACCTTGCACTTGCCAGGCAAGCGCTTTTGCCGCTGAGCTAAATCCCCAGCCCCTTCTTTTTTTATTCTTAAAAAAAAAGGAAGAGATGAATGAGGAAAAGGCAGGCAGGACACGCCCCTACCTAGTGCTAACTCTGTCAGTCACATGAGAAGATAGGAACCAAGGTGATTTAACTCCACCTAACAAGAAGCTACCAAACCCCCAGGCACTGTATGGAACCTACCTAACATTACACGATTGTTAATGAGACTTTATGTTTAATGTATATTATTGTATTTTTAGATCTTGCTAATGATACTCTAAACAACTGTGGCTGGTAAAAAGGTAAAAATTAAGCATACAGAACTTATTCATAATAATATCTAAGGAGAGCAAAAACTACTTTGGTATCCCTGAAAAACACTAAACAAAATAAAATAATTATTTAAGATAATTCTCTCATTCTTAATGAATCCTTCTAAATTCTAAATTTCTGTTTTCATGTTTTACAATGCAAAACACACATTCCGTCCACTTTATAAACAAGTAAATGTACTTATGTAAACAATCTTGGTTCACACATCTTGCAATAAAGAGATCCACACCCAAGAATGTTGGAAGATCACAGGCCTGGCAATCACAAGTTTCCAGACTCTCATGTTAGAAAATGTGGTTTTCTTCCCGGCTCTTCCTCTCACTGTCTGTGTAACCTGGGGCACTTCATGTTCCTCTGAACTTCCACTTCCCCATGGATGAGACGAAGATACTTATAGTACCCTCTTTAGTATCTGTCCATTAGGTTTGTATTTGCATGGTATCTGGCACAAAGCACACACCACATAAATACCAACAACTTTCATCTTGAGATTTTAATGCAGAATTCCTCAACTCCGCCCAACTCTCTAATACTCAGACATTCTTTAGAGAAATTTGGAGTCATAAATCAGGCAAAGACCATTACACTGACCAACTTGCTAACACACCTCCCTGGGAGCATATTAACTAATTAATTTATCTGTTACTAATTAATTATTGGTTGTAGTATATTGACTTATTTGATTATTAATTAATGATCCAGCTGCATTTGAGCAATGCACAGTGATAACCACTCCATGGCAACTCCTGTGTCAGACACTAAGGATTCACTCAGGTGCTTCTGCCCTTGAGAGCCTCAGAGCCTGATGGGGGACACAGATGCACACAGTGACCCCGGTGCACGGTGGAAGGCCACTGAGTTCTCCACCCAATGAGAGCTGTTGCTTATGATGCATTTAACCAGAAAGGGACAGTGTTTTCAGTATGCCCAAGATATCTGCTCTCTCCATAGGTTAGGAAGCAGTGAATTTCGGTGGCTTCACAGTAGTAGAGTTGTGTTCAAATTCGTATTCTGCTTTTCTTTTCTCTTTTTCTTTCTTTTCTTTCCTTTTCTTCTTTTCTTTCCTTTCCTTTTCATTTCTTTTCTAGCAGCACTAAAAATTGAACCCAGGGCCTTTGCACTTTGCACTGAGCTATACCCCCAGACCTCTTACTTTTTGTTTCTGAGACAAGTTCTCATGAAGTCACTAAGCTGCCCATGGTGGGCTCAACCTCACAGCCTCCCTACCTCAGCCTGTCACAGACCGGGGTTACAGGCATGCACCAGCACACTCAGTTAAGTTCATACCCTTTGACTGTAGTATCCATGCTCTTCCCAGGAACTCATGCCACCCAGCCCCAGGGCTGCCTGTAATCTGAGCAGTGGGTGTGGTATTTGGAGTTGCGCATTCCTCTTCTTTTGACTTGGCCTTAACCTGGGTGCAGTAACAGGAGAGAGATGATGAGCAAGTGCTGATTTCTGAGCTGCTCTTCATGCCTCTGTTTCCCACGCAACTGCCTTCCCACAGCCCCCAGATCAGCAGTCTTGGAAGAAATGCTCCACAACTTGGATTTTTGTGACATTCTGGTGCTTGGAGGGGACTTGGACCCAAAACAGGAGTGCTTGGAACTCAACCACAGTGAACTCCACCAGCGACACTTGGATGCTACAAACTCCACTGCAGGCTACTCCATCTACGGTAAGGTCCCTCCACCAAGTGGTCCCCTTTCAGCATGGCCTTGTCCAGGAAGCTCTGAGTATGATGACACCTGTCGGCATGCAGTGCAAATCCCTAGAGGTCTGCAGAGAGCCTTGATCTGACGACATGGTTTCTAGACTTTGGAGAGTCCCTCCAGCATTAGGGGACCCATCCTACATCCTCACTCTCCGGGAAATCTCTAGAAGCTTCTGTTATAATGTTTGTTCTCAGAAAGTATTGTACTATGTTTGGCAGATTGAGGACATAGTCCAGAGGCCCCCCAGTCTGCATGGGAATCTTGTGGAGCAGTTTAATTGGCTCCTTAGAACTGCAGCTTCTACCCATAAACATAACTGCATAAACCCATAAACTTTTACTGCACAAAACTCCCAAGCCCCAGCAACCCTAGCCTGACTCCCCGCTCTCCTTTTCCTTTTCCTTTTGTGCGACCTCCTGATGACACAGGTGTGGGCTCCATGACCCGCTACGAGCAGGTGCTGCGTCACATCCGCTACCGCAACTGGAGCCCAGGCTCCCTCGAGTCTCGGCGGTTCCGAATCAAATGTTCAGAACTCAATGGGCGCTACACTAGCAACGAGTTCAATTTGGAGGTGAGTGAGTTCTGCCGTTGTGAGTCCTGCTCACTCTTTCAAGAGAGCCATTACAGTTGGCCCCATGGCACCTCTCCTTGCTTGTTCCAGGTCAGCGTGCTACATGAAGTCAGAGTCCCAGACAAGGAGCATGTCAACCACCTTATCGTGCAGCCGCCCTTCCTCCAGTCCGTCCATCACCCCGAGGCCAGGAGTAGCATCCAGCACACTTCAGGTAGGGCCACAAAGAGGAGGGGCCTCAGAATCCAAGGTGGCCATTGGGACTCAAGATTATCCACTGAATAGATACGTTGCGGCAGCCCTAGGTGCTCAGAACTGAGGGAATTCTGCCGTGGAGAAAACATAGGCCTTGCCTCCTAGGAACTCATAGCTTCAACAGGGAGTCAGTCAAGTAAGCAAGAATGTACACATGATACATAATAACTGAGATTGGCACAAAGGGTTGGCACGTTAAGATAGTTCTTTCAGGCCCAGCCCAGTCATGTTCTGTATGAAGTTTTCCACAGACTCTTTATGTACACACATGTGCACCATACTACCAAGTCCTCGGCTTACACTTCCGTTTGGGCACTTATTATATTATGTCATCAAATCACGGCGCTTGTGACATTCTGGTGCTTGGAGGGAACTTGAACCCAAGACAGGAGTGCTTGGAACTCAACCACAATGAACTCAACCAATGACACTTGGATGCCACAAATTCTACTGCATCAAATCTGTTCCTACTACACTTCACAATGCCGGGCTTTCAGTGGGATCTCTCCTATGGTTTGAAGAAAATGCCAGGGATAGACGAGAATATGCATATATTGAACACTCACTCTGTGCCTATGTAGAAACTCAAATAGATTATTTCATGTACTCCTCACGATAACCTGTAGGATAGGTTATATAGAGGGTGAAAGTGTAACCCAGACAAGTTAAGGTGCTGACCCTGAGTCCTACCCCTGGGAAATGGGAAGGCAGAGTTTATCTTTCACATGGATATTTTGTTCATGTGTCATCACAAGAATGAGCTAGACCTTGCTCATGTTCCTTCCTCGTTGCAGTGGTCCCGAGCATCGCCACAGTGGTTATCATCATCTCCGTGAGCATGCTCGTGTTCGTTGTGGCCATGGGTGTGTACCGAGTTCGGATCGCCCACCAACATTTCATCCAAGAGACTGAGGCTGCCAAGGAGGCTGAAATGGACTGGGATGACTCTGCACTGACCATCACCGTCAACCCCATGGAGGTGATCCTCATGTTGGGCTGGGGGCTCCGGGTGGGGTGCTTCTCCCTCTACCCAGCTCAGTTCTTCCTGTGTTAAAGCCTAATCCAAGACCCCTCTTAGTCCACCTTAGGTCCTGCTACTCCATCTAGTCCATCCCTATCTTCCTGTCTCTGAGCTTCAGCAACCCTCTCAACATGAACCAACTATATTTCCCCAGCAACTATTCTCTGATTAAAAATGTGTGGATTGATCTCACCCCATGAAAAAACCCAGAAATCTCTTAAAGCAAGCAGCCATTGTGTCTATTCCTTGCCTCCCTCCTAGTTCACAGCTGACTAATACTTAGGAACTCAGTGTTGAATTCTTTATTAGCAGTGTGAATGAGATGGCTTTACTCCATCTCGCCTACAGAGCTCACTTCAAGGCTCAGTTTAGGTTAAAACAAAAATACAACAGCAGTGCCTGCCATTTATTAAGCCACCACTATGCCAGACTGTTCAGTGTACACTGTATCTATCTGCAACCTGTGAAGTAGGAGTCATCATCCTCCTTTACCAAGGTAGGAACCAACTGAGAGAAATACTCAAATGCACATAACCAGTATTCAAAGTAATCATCTAATTCTAAAGTTTATACCTTTGCAGTTATCCAATAGCTCCTAGAAGCCACCCATGCTTTTCAAGGCACCTTCTCTGGACATGATTGTCAAGGAAAGGCGTGGGCATTGTGCTCTTTGCCCACAGGCACTCAGTCGTGGCAGACACAAGCTTGGGGAAGCCGTGGGAGATCAGTCATTAGGAAATAACGAGGATCATTCCAGCCTGGTGCCCAGTTCTCCCCCAGCTGGTCTCATACTCTGATTTCAAAGCCATCATGCCAGTGTGTCTCATTTTCTCTGAGCTCACCACTGTGCAGACACCAACATTTCCATCCTCAAACACCTCACCCTTGGGTGTGGAGAACAAGAGCAGGCTGAGACCAGGCAGTAGCCAGCCTAACCGGGATCAGCCGGATAGTGTAGATAGTTAGGGAGGCTTGAGTAAGAAAAACCTTTGTGGAAACAAAGGAAACAGCCCTGGGAGAGTCTGGTCTAAGGGAGGCCTTAAATATTGGGTTTATTATGGAGGAGGAAAAGGTAGAATAGAAGCTGTTTTAAGAGGGAAGTATAGCCAAGCAAAGAGACACACCTTTTATGTCCTGACTCCCCAATTTAAAACATAAACCTAGAAATAAGATTTTGCTGGAAACATTAAAAAGCTGGAAAGAGGTAGAATGGCCCTGGGGAGCACAGGATACAGTTTGGGGACCTGAGTTAGGGCTGAAGAGCAGCATGGCCAGTGCAACCATGAACTTTGTCTTTTCCAAAGAAAGAATTCCAAGGGACAGCACACCTGAGTCTTGGCTTAGAATGTTTTCTTCCAGGGACATTACATTCCCACCTGGAAAAGGAGTATAAGATTAAATGTCATTCTTTTTCTAGGAAGCAAACACTTGAGGATTGGAAATCTCCACTTAGATGGTTCCAGCCTGTTCTTGTTCTCCACACCCAAGGGAGGTTCCAGAAATGCCAGAAAACAAGGCTTGGCCTGAAAAATTCCAAAATGATTGATAGTCTTGGCTGGAATGGCCACCCCATCATGTGCAAACTTTTTACCTCAAGTTCATGTCTTTGAGCTTTCTTCTAAGTCAGGCCCTTCTCCAACTTAGGAACTTTCTGGCTTCCCTTTTACCACAAGATCTTTGTGGAAAATCTCTCTCCAGATCCAAGAAGTTAGCACCAAAAGACAGGAATCCCAAGAGGGACCAAATGTTTCCTTGATAGAGAAGGAAGTGTACGCTCTGAAGTGGGCTCTATTCAGCCTCTGATGAGTATTTTCTTTCTCTTCCTGATATCCAGAAACACGTAGCCCCAGGGCATGGGGAAGACGAGACTGAGGGAGAGGAGGAGGAGGAAGAGGCCGAGGAAGACATCAGCTCCAGCAGCAGCGAGGACAACAGTGAAGAGGAGGAGGAGGCGGGGATGGGCAGAGGCAGACACGGGCAGAGCGGCCCCAGGCAAGCCCAGCTGGAGTGGGATGACTCCACACTGCCCTACTAGTGCCTGCAGTTCCACTGCCCAGCCCACGTGTCCCTTTTGTAAAGCCCGCCCGACCCGGTGTCTGCCTGAGCCAGTCACACTCACCTCTGATCTCTGTGACAGCTCTGGGAAGGCCTCTGCAACTTCCTCAAACCTGCCCGTGGGCAGCTCTCTGAAGCTCTGTGTCATCATCGGTGGGGACTTCAGGATGGACTTTTTCCTGTAGCCCCCACTCCTCCTGCCCTGGGTTCACCTAGCATCCTGTGAGTCACTCTGCAGAGTTATGAACACCTTGCTCTTTTCGGTAAAGGACAAGGTCCACCTTTACGTCTCTCAGCTCCCCAGGCTCAGGGTTCCTGAGGCCCTCAGGTTCCAACTCCCAGTTCACATCTCTCTCTACTCACAGCAGAAGGTCCTCCTTGTGCTCACTCTGCAGGTTCCTTTGTGCAGGGAAGGAGGTGGAACTTTATACAGTAGGGCCTTAGGGCTGGACACTTGACAGAAAAGTGCTTGTTGAGACAGACTTGAGTTTACAGGGAAAGATACACGCACGTACATACTTCCCAGCTTGGAGAGCCTTTCCCTGTGCTTCTTGCTGAAGCCACATAAATTTATATGACAAGTTCAAAAGCAAGGATCAGTCCTTGGCCACAAGCAGACCCTATCCTCCACCAAAGGAGCCCGACTGCCTAAGGAGCACTGAGACCCATGTGGCTGCCCTCCCCGGGGCACTTACCACACAAAACTACCAGACACTGGAAGTGTTCCATACAGGCACTGCCCTGGTGACAGCCACACCAAGGTCACAGCCAGAAGTAGGAAAAGGGCTGACAGATGACACGGTAGGGTCTCATGGAAGATGCAGATGTGGAAGACAGCAGAGGGACTGATGGGCTCCCTGGGACCAAGGCAGCCCCTAAGGTTGACAGGGCTTTCACCACCTCACCTCCTTCTCCCTTATCTCTTGTGTTACAGTGTCTTACTCTTGAGAAAACATTGCCCTTCGCAAATGTACTAGAACGTTCACAAACTCCACATGTCCAAGATGAAAGTTTGGAAATCTAACTGCTGGGAATGAGCAGCGTATTTGTAACAATAGCAGTCGCTTCTTTCTTTTTCTCATAAAAGGAAGAATGCTTTGCATAGAGGGCAAATATATTCAAAACCTTAATTTTTCTTTCTTCTTTTTTCAATAAGGGAGTCTTTTCCATCTCCATTCCAACATACACACCTCGTGAAGAGAACTGTTGCTATAGTAACAAGTGGGTGATTTTTGTGACCAAGAGAATAGCAGGCAAGAATTAAGGCTGTTAGAAACCTTCCATGAGGCTGTAAGGACATGTTTGTTTCAAATGTCTTGGGTTCCTGTTTGTCCTCAGAATGCACGAGCTACCCACCTCCTCCCATTCCACCCCAAGCCCATCCCATGTTGTTTTGACACAGGCACAAAGCTGGTCCCCAGTCAGTGGCATTCAAGTTCAACAGAAGGATCAGCATCTGCTTAGTGTCTTTTTTGTGTCATCCAATTAGAGAACATAAGTAGGGGGACCACAACCAATGTCCAACCTCCACTCAGTAAAGATACACAAGAGGCCTTTCCATGCTTCTGACTGGCGAGAGCTACCTTGGACAGCTCTTTCCATTCCTGAAGTGTTTTGCATCATTTCCCTCCTTTGAACTTCCCAATAGTCCTGTGAAATATTGGACACATCTTTTGTTAGACACCTTTTTGTGATGTGTAAACCGAGGCTCAGAGATTCAGTGTCTTACTCACAGTTAGTCAGAGGTATAGATAAGTTTGGGCCCTTACCCTCCACTCTTGATCTGGGATTCTACTTATGTTCATACTGATGTACTTAACAGGCATTCTGAGAGCCTATTTTGTGCTAAGCATTCTACCAGAAGCTGTGGGAAAGCGATATAGCAAAATGAGTTAAGCCCTTCCCTCCAGAGTACGTGATTGCCACACAAGAGGCCTAGAAGTGGGCATAGAAATGATACAGTGCATGAAGAGGAAGGGGGAGGAGAAGTCACAGGAAGAAGAGGGACATATTCACACCCCAGCTAGTGCTCTGTTCCCTGCTTGGGAATAACAATGGAAGGAGCTTGAGATTTTATATTCATTGCCAGGAAATAAACACAGTTCCTATGAATCATCCCAACCACACTCCCCTTTCCTACCAGGTCATGTCTGCACACCCATAGGGAGAAAATCCGCAGGGTTGGTCAGGCTGTACAATCTCACTATTTCAATAAAAACAGCTTCTTCAGTCAGGTATTTAGGAACTCCTGAGTTCTACCAAAATTATGGCAGTAAAAGGAAAACTTTCTATGTTTAAAACTAAGCCCTTTTTTCACTAGGTTTTGGTTGTGAATATTTAAGTCTCAGGTTTCTGAGAGCACATTTCTCTCCACTCTGTCTTTCCAGCTTGGTTGGGTGGGGAGGGCATTTCTCGTACCCTGAGGCTGCATTAATCATGATTCGGTAGGCTGTTTGGAACATTAGGAAATCTATATGTGTTTGGGCTGCGTGGCAGATGAAAGTGGCACTTGACTACAGCAACAAATATGTGTCATTTGAGGAACCTTTGGTGACTAGACTCAAAGACACAATGGTGACAACAAACCACAGCCCTTTCCCTGTACTTCGGCTGCAAGAGGCTACTGTGCACGCCAGCTCCAAAGATGTGGCACTTGAAATATGCCGCTGGGTCAACAGGCATTTATCCTGTTCTCAGTACCCTATTCATTACCACAGATAAATAAGCTGACAGCTTCCGGAGGTATCCAGATGAGTGATTGGTAATATAATTTGCCCTGCACCTGATATTCTGGCCATAAATGAAAAATATCATTAATAAGTCTGGCATTTTCCAGTCTGTGTGTGCTGGCATTTTGGGAACCAAAATTCTCAGATGGCCTGGATACCCTGTGACCTCTCATTCAGACATCTACAGCCAGGCAGGTGCAGTTTCAGACCCATGAATAGCAGCTAACTGGGTTGGCCCCAGGCCAGTCCGTTGCTGTCTTAGTAAGTGGATGACATCACAAGTTTGCTCCTCAGAGCTAGAAAACAGCCACTTTGAAACCTCTGAGGTGACCCAGATGACAGGAAAAAGGAGAGCAAGGAAGCTCAGATTGCACAAGGCCAGGACACAATGCGTTCCCCAGTGGAATAAAGCAATAGCCTAGTTGGTGAACTGTCTTAAGAAGTACTAACAGTATATTCTACCAGATTTAATCAAATGCTGTAAGGTTGGCCAAGGCCCAAATTCATTTAAATACAAAAACATAATTTCATGGGCTCCGTTTTCATTACCACTTTCTTGAATTTACTTAATTCTGTAGTGCACTGTATAGACCGAAGCCCTCTGTATTTAACAAGGGCTATCCCTGTAGACATGGATTCCCCAGGAAAACAGTGTCCTCCATTCCTGTGTGTCACAGGTCAGCAAACTGTATCTGCAGACAGCCAAATAGTAAATATTTGTGCCTCAAGACCATGTGGTTTCTGTTACAAGTACTAGATTCTGCCTTGTAGCATGAAAGCAACCACAGACAACACACAAATGAATGCTCCAGTGAAACGGTATCCATGCATCAATAAAACTTTACATATGGGCAATGAAAAAGTAGGCAACCTGAATTCACATCATTTTCATGTCATGATTCTTTTTTACTCTTTTGATTTTTATTTCCAACTACTCAAAATCATAAAAACCTTTCTTGGTCCACAAACCATATGAAAACTAGCAGTCAACTAGATAACCAGACGTGGTCTGAGGGCTGCAGTGTAAACGGAAGGAAAAAAAAAAAAAACCTTCCTTTCCTAGAAGAAACAAACTGTTATCTTAGTCCTTCCATCAACAGCTCACTGGTCTTTGCTTGTAAATTGAACAGCAGGAAAACGCCATAGTTCTTCATCAAGCTCTTTCAGACGTTCGTGCTCCAGGGGAAACAAAAGCAAACAGAAACAAGACAAAACCAACAAAAACACATGTTATTTTTGAACTGACAAACTCAGATGAATATTCCTAAGGGCCGAAGACCTTGGATCCAGGGAACTGATTAACTACTGCGCGCTAACTCCACGGAGGCAACTGTTAGCCCCCCAGGCTCAGCCTGATTTCCATCTCAGCTCTGCTCACGCCGTGGATCTAAAAATGATCCTAAAGACTTGTGACTGTTTGAATCAATAGCAACATGATCAGCAGAAAGTACAATCCAGCGCACTTGAAAATGAGCAGTTTTCTTGGCTCTCTGACTCAATATTAGCAAGAGGAAGGAAAAGAGCATTGTTTCCTAATCATCGTCTCACTGAAATTAACCAACTAGGTTTTACCGACAAGTAAGGGAGTAGGTCTAATCCTTTGAAAGAAACTGTCAGTGAAAAGTAGATGATGTGCACATACAATAATTTTCCGGCCTCTGGGGGATTCCTCAGCCTCCCGCAGTGTGCTCTGGCAGGCTGTGGATGTACACCCGTCTCTATCTGCATCAGGCATTTATCAGCGCTGACAAGCCAAAACCCTCGGCTTAATTTAATTTTCATGTAACCACTTTCTGTTGTCCAGCTGAAGGCAAAGGAAATGAGCAATGAAAGTTTTGAAGTCTACTCCACGGCTCTCATTTCCTTGTCTTTATTTGCTTTACTTCATAAATTTATTCTATGCCTGCCCTGTGGATCTTGGTTTAGTTCTCTTTTTGGCACCAGCTAGGAAAGGAGAGTGGGCTTTATAGAGGCTGTAGAGTAGGAGACAAGCTTTGCTTTGTCCCAGGGAGACAAATGAGACAGAAGTTACCTCCACCAGCACCCCGGAAAGCAATCAGACAGTTCTTGTGTGCAGTCAGTGAACAGATGGGAGTCTGTGTTTGCATCTACTTCCAATGTCATTTGGTAAGTCCTCACTGAGCACCCATGTGTGTTCCCGGCACCGTGCCAGAAGCAAGGGAGGGAGAGCAAATGAGGATCTCCTGGTCTTGTGAGCTGTGAAGATGTTTTCTTCTCAGAGCTGGAGCTGTCCACAAGCAGTCAGACTTGTGGGGGTGCAGGAGTTTGAGATTAAGGAGTTGGGATAACTTGTCCGATCCTAGTGATCCCAGGGACACTGATACTCCTCGCTGAGGCAGTCTGAGGAGAGCTTTAGGGAAGTGATGTTTCCCCAAATATCCCCTAATTGTACCCAAGCCTAATTCAGTTCATATGTAGAAAGGAGCCAGTCTCTTACCCACTGGGCAGAAGTAACATGACTGATGACTGAGATTTGGTCAAACTAAGCCAGAGGCAGTCCCTTCAATGAGAATAGCAGCCCTGCAGTCCATGCAAGTTAGGAAGGGTGATCCAGGTAGGGGGTGCTCGTGACAGCCAAGATTAAGGGCTTGACGTGCATCATGTGAGGCAATGCTCAGAGCAGAAGGTGAAAGGAGCCCCACTCTGGAGGATCTGTAGATACTTCAGACCTGTGATTCTGCAGGTGCCGTCTAAGGAACACCGATTCACAAAGCCCACTCCAGACCTACTGAATCAGAGACTGGAGGTGGAGCCAAGTGATTTTGCTTTAATGAGGTTCTGCTGAAGTTTGAGAACTATTCATGTAGAGGATGAGAATGGCTTAAGCTGCGTTAGGAGGAGCTGCTATTAACAAACAAGGTAAAATAACCAATCGCTGGTGCAGTAACGGGGGGTAGCAGAACACACACACCCAGCACTGCCATGAGGGCCTTCCTAACTCCAGTTCATACTTCCAGAGCACTGGTTTCAGGGAACCTTTGTCTTAGTTCGAATGCTGCTCCTCCCTTCAGGCATGAGATAGTTCTTACCCACATTCCCCTTTTATCCTAGAGGGAAGCAACCCAGGAGATTTTCTAGTGAGGCTATTCGCACCTAGGGAGGCCACCTGTCAAGCTCCTGTCCACTGAGCAAGCTCCTTAAGGGCCATATTGAATGAGGAAACACATTACAGCCATTCCCTAGACCAAAAGGAGGGCTGTTTTGCTCACAGCTGCGTGCTAGTGATGCATGCAGGGCCTGGTAGAGAGTGAACAGGGTCATTCAAGGACACTGCCAGGTTATTGCAGCACTGTCCATTTGTAATGGGAAGTGGGACACAGTATCACAATTCAAATGCTAAATTAGATGGGGAATAGATAGCTTTTCTTGGAAAGGCAGTAATTCATGTTACTAAAAGTAGAAAACCAATAACCAAAAACAAAACTGCAGCCTTGTCTACAATGTGAATCTGTCTAGACACTCTCATTTTTAAGGCCTATATAAGTGCCAGGCTCCACCAATGCCTGATCCCTGACCTACCAGATGCCTGTGGTCTGCCAGTCATTAATTTTATGCCTTAAACTCCACGAAGGTCCACAAATCTTTGGGAAGAATTCACTGGTGCTTTATTGGTCATTTGCACTTAACTGTGGTACCCAGTCTGTCCAGGGCACAGAGGAAGAACAGATGGGGAAAGAGTGTGGCATGTGGTCCAGGAGAACCAGCAGCTGCTGTCGAGTTCCTACAAACCCAGACGCTGTCCTGCTCAGACACACCTCTGGCCATCCCAGCGGTCTCCTAAGTGAGTCCCACAAAGACCCCGTAGGAAACCTCCATTTCTCCAGCCAAATTTGCAAAAATGTCTCTGATCAAATGCCTAGCCAATCTCCTGAGACCAACACAGAGATCACACTGAGGACAAATCATCTCTAAAACATTAGAATCTGCTAAAAGAAAGAAAAGAGGGAGAAAGAAGGAAGTCAGAATCTGCTAAAAGAAAGAAAGAAATGGAAGGAAGGAAGGAAGGAAGGAAGGAAGGAAGGAAGGAAGGAAGGAAGGAAGGAAGGAAGGAAGGAAGGAAAGTAAGTAAGAAAGAAAGAAAGAAAGAAAGAAAGAAAGAAAGAAAGAAAGAAAGAAAGAAAGAAGAAAGAAAGAAAGAAAAGGAAAGAGAAGACTGACTTGCTAGTCATTTGCCTCCGAGAAAGCATAGCAAAAACCAGGTAGAACAGTTCTGCTTTACAGTGCAGCCTCCCTGATTGAATTTTCGATGACACATTTCTCTTCCAAGAGTTAAAACAATTTTGTGTGTTTATCTTAGTCACTTACTGCAAAAGTCTCCTATGGGACAACATGGCAAATTATGGGAAGGTAGCTGTGGAAGTAGGCAGGGCCCTGTTCTTGCTGGCAGACCTGGACCGGAGCTGGGTCAGGCAGGGTGGGGAGACATTATGGCCTGAGGGTCAGAAGCTCAGATCCAGCCATGACACCAGGTGGAGCAAGTGGGTAGTGGAAAGGAGGAACCAAGACGAGAGTCCTGAGGTGGGTCATCAGATGGGCATGACCAGCCACTTACCCGTCCTCGGTCAAAAAGAAGGAAGAGAACATCTTCCTATTGCCAGCCTGTATAGCTCCTGGACCCTGCTGGAGCAGTCCTCCCATCCTGCCTGGTGCAGAGAGGAGCTGTCACCTCTGCACTCTCACCGCAGGCAGGGTCCCACCCCGCAAGAACTTGGAGTCGAGTGAAATGAACCACAGTTCTTCCTTCCCAGGAATCTGATGGGGACCCTGAAAACCACAGGCCTGTGAGGGAGGCTAGCAAGGGTTCCCGACACTTTCCACCTCTACTTGTCACCTCCCCAAAGCAAGAATAATCTACCCCAGCACCCTCGGTGCCAAGCACTGCACCCAGCCCACAGCATGGGCTCCACAGATGTTGGATTGAACAGACTCTCAGAGATCACGTGACTTCCAAGAATGGACTTGATTTCAAAACTTAAGATGTATTAATGGAAAAAAAGATCCTCATCCTCCTTCTCCCCTCCCCCTTCCCCTTTCCCTCTCTTCTCTCTTCTCCTCTCCTCCCCTCCTTCCCTTCTCTCCCCTCCCTCCCCTCTCCTTCTCTCTCCTCCCTGCTCCTCCCCTCCCCTCTCCTCCCCTCTTCTCTCCTCCTCTTATCTCCTCTCCTCTCTTCCCGTCCACTCCCCTCCCCTCCCGGCTCCTCCCCGCTCCTCCCCGCTCCTCTCCGCTCCTCTCCGCTCCTCTCCTGTCTCTCTGTATGTAAGTCAAGGTCTTTTGTGAAATCATGAGGAGGAAAAGAAGTGCAGTGGACAGATGACAAAATTCCAGCTATCCAAATGGGAGACAGGAGCGTGCCTGTTTGGAAAGTGACCCTACCTATCTATGACCAGTAGAGGGAGCTGCGAAGCAAGGAGCAAGGATTCACACGCCTTGATGAGCTCCACTCCACTCTAAGGGTCATGGACAACATTCCAACTGAAGAGAGAAGGCCTTAATTAGTTAATGACCCCAGCCTAGGACTGCTTTCCAGTTCCTTTTATCAGATTTACTGCAGAGGAGATTCATCAACATGAAGCCCAAATCCCCACAGTCTAATGAAAAGAGGGCAACAGACATGAGAGGGGCCAGAATGCAGACAGTGTGTATTAATCACAGGCAACAGAGACGTGTTGGCTTTAATGTCTGTTTGCTTTTATCCTGAAATGCATCTTTGTTACTTAGACCCTTCTACTGAGCTTTTGAGAACAGAAATAGGGTACACACACACACACACACACACACACACACACACACAAACACACAAATATTGAGGGTTTTCCTCCAGCAGAAAGAGCCATTAGAGAAGGGAGCTTAGAGGTTGTGTCTATTCTCAGAAATGGAGACCCCACCCAGAGGTCTCAGTCACAGACTCCAACATCTCTGTGGGGAAGGGCAGGGAAGGCAGGCAGAGGTACTTTCTGCCCTCTGGAAAGATTCCTTAGGCTCTTGAAGTTGAGGGGTTGGTGTGAGCCTATGGGTCACAGAGAGAAATATGATGTGTACGTGCATCTTTGGAGGCCAAACACAACATACAGCACAGTGGTCTGGCACTGATCCCCACCCAACTGCCAGCTCCCTTCCATATCTAACAAGGAGCCAATGGCATGCGGGATTCAGAGGAGCAACACTTTAGGTGGTAGAAATAAGGCAAACGTCTCCGGTAGGAGACAGGGATGACCTCCAGTAAAGATCACTCAACATGTAATAAAAGAGATAAGGAGAAGGTAACTCAGAGTTGGAAGGGGAATGGGAAAATTGAATAAGAGTAGAAACAACAGGAGCAACAGCCCGTTACCTAGGAAGCCAGACTACACTTCTATATTTAAAACTTTATTCAAAGTTTCAAAGAAATTGTGGATAAACCCAATCCTATGGCCACAGTAGGAGTCATACCAATTGCTTCCCAAGTTAAGGATATTGGAAGGTGAGTTCAGCTCTCAAGTGAGCTAGTCGTGATGGATCGGTCCACCTGACTGCTTTCAGCCTGACCTCAGTGGTCTCCACAAAAGGATCCTGATGCTCAGGAGCTGGACAGGCCTGACAGGAGATCCAGTTGGCGAGTTTAGAAATGATACTGTAGGTAGAACTTGGTTGTTTTCCAGGAAATCCATAGATATTTGAGTTGGGTTTGTTATGTTATTGGCATTGACATTATAATGTGTGCAAGAAGGATAGTCAGAATGATTTGATGGGGGATTAATTAGAGAAATTAGAGCATTAAATATAAGATATCAGAGATAATTAGGATAAGGACAGATGATAATATATGTATGTGTATATACACATAC